AGAAAAAAAAAAAAAAAAGCGGAGAGAAAAAAAAAGCCACACACTTAAGAAAAAAAAAAAAATCAAAACCCAAACCAAAAACCAACCCACTTTTGGATGCGATTTGAGGCCAATCAGGCGCCGGGAGCCCCGCCTGCCTCCAAGTGTCAACTCCAGCCTGTTACTCTCCCAGCGTTAACCCCTTCAGCCCAGCCCCTGCCGCCCGCCCGGGCCTGATCCTGCCCGAGGATCCAGCTCGGGGAGGTGGTGCTGCCCCAGGGGTTGGGGTCTAGCACGCTGTTCTACCCCCCCCATGTCAAGATTTGTCCCCAGGGTGCGAGGGGGTGATTCCTCTCCAATTCCCCCCAGCATCCGTTTGCTGGTGGAAAGCACTGGGCCGTTGCCAGCTGGAGAGCATCTCCTTACAGCCTGCAAGGCAGAAGGTGCCTCGGGAGGTTTTGACCCTCGGTTCCCATGTCCTCGGCTTAACCAGGGACAGGGGGGCCTTTGGGCCGCGGGGAAAGCTCCAACAGTGACACACACAAGGAGGTTTCCATGCCCTGAGCAAACAGCTGGGTCCACATGGGGTTTCCTCCAGCTGGAGTAAGGCAACGGGCTAAATCAGGCTTGAGGAAAATACCTATGAAATAAAACAATGCAGCCAGCAACTCCTGTCACTTTATTTTACTCTTTTTTTGGGGTGGGGTGGGGGGTGCGACTTCATTTAAAACCCAGATCTCCCCCTTTCAGACTGAGTTTTTCTTCCCGTCCGCAGTCCCTTGCAGTGAGTGAAAAACCCCACGGGAGTATGAAAGTCTCAGGCTGTAAAACCAGGTAGTACCGTCATGTGCTCCATGGTGGCAGGCACGGGGAGATGGGCAGAAACTCGCTGTCCCTGGCTGGGAAGCTGCTCAAGCACCAGGGAACAACCAGCTGTAATGGAGAAAGGGAAATCACTCCTTATGGATTACTCCTTCTTTCCTCTTAAACCCTCCTTCCCCATTAGTTCATGAGATTCCTGGCCTCTGGAGCGCCCTTTGTGCGGCACTGAGATATCCAGGGATGTCCTTGCCGCAGTCTGGGGGTGGTGGGTCCTATCCTGCTCCACACCCTGATTTTCTAAACCTTTCACAGGGAGCAGCACACGCTCAGGACCGGGCTTGTGCTCCTCTAACCTTGCTGTGGATGCAAGCCCAAGGACCAGCTCCTCTCCACTGCTTGCTTTTTTTTTTTTTTTTTTTTTTTTTCCCTTAGCTGCATCCTAAAATGATCTGAAAGTGTAAAGTGTCGTTTGGCACCTCAGCATCCCTGGGAAACCAGAGTCAGGCCACGGCTGAGCAATGGGGTGCAGGGTTAAAGGCTGCTCTCCCCTTACTGGAGGATGTATTTACATCTGTCCCTCTATTATTATCTCCACTTAAAAGCCACATCCCTACCTATATAGTAAACACACAACCCTGGCTTTAAATAGCAGCTCTGCCCTGGGGCCAAGGCTCTGATTACTTCTTTTTAAAGTGTGGGGTTTTGCGACCATAGGAGGGGAGGAAATAATAATTAAAAAAAAAATAGTAAAAGCAATGCCAGCATGGTGTAGTTCGGTCTGGGACATCTCTCCAGGGCCGTGTATTGAATGTGGTCCCTTGACACCCAGCGCCTTGGCTGCTCTCCTGGCAGGGAGCTCAGCCTGCAGCTGGGGCAGCTTTTTTGTAGTGGCCAAGGTGGGTTTT